TCCTTTCTGTTTCATGGGTTTATGTGTAATATTAAGCTAAATGACTTGGTAGATTACTATGTCCTAGCATAATATGGGCACTGCATATTTTAATACTGTATCTTTTAATAGATTTTTGTATTGTATTTATTCTTTTGGAGAGGCATGGACACAGAAAGATAGATGGCAGTCTTTTTTTTTTCTTTTTTGGGGGTTATGCTAGTGCTGTATTATAATATAGAAAGTACTGATGGGATTTGGGCAAAGGAACCAAACTGGTGTGCAGTAGAAAAGGAAAGATTTGTATTCTTCTTGCTCCACATCCCAATCCTAATGAAGAATAGCACCAACTTTTTAAAAACCTTTCATGTGATAAGTCGGAGCAAAGGGCAAGGAGAACCTTTTCCTTTCCACAAAAGAACTCCTGCTTCTCTCTTGCTAACATGTTCAACCATCTCTCCATATGGTTGCAGGGCAATTCCAAGGTCTGACCTTTGGTTCTCAGCATAGTGTATTAAAACAACCTATACTAAGAGGTCAGAAAATTGCAGGCACAGGCAATAAACTCTCCTAGTTGGGAGGTGTGGGGTTAGAAAATTCTTAAGGAGAAAAATCCAGAAGTTAGCCAATAAAATTTCTCAAGAAAAGTGTCTCTAGTATATTCAGTGTTCACCATGTTTTCCAAAAATATTAATTTAAATTCTGCTCTGCAAATATTTACAGGCCTCAGCAGAATAACCATTAAGTGATACGATGTCTTTGCAGATGATGTATTAATATATCCGGGGTGGTGGTTGAGAGCATAGGCTCTGGAGTTGGATATCTGGCTTCTAATCTTAGATTCACCACTTTATCATCCTGTGTGTGACCTTAGGTAAGTGCTTTCTGACTAAACCTCTATTTCTTCAACTGTAAAATATCATTGAGTTATTATGGAGACTAAAAGAAATACTGTGTTTAAAGAGCCTAGCACAGTGCCTGGCACAGAATAAATGCTAAGTAGATGTTAGTTATTCTTATCCAGATTTTGAATTATTTACCAAGAATTATTTACCGTGGCCAAAAAAACGCCTGGAAGGATTGGATTGAAGAAACCTAAAATGGTCTTCTAGGTTGGAACCTAGATGGTGCTACCACTTCATCATTCTATTTTCTAGAAAGGTGGTGAGCAGGAGCCCCTGAGCAAGGCCCAGTGAATAAGGACTGGGAGCCAGAGTGGCAGGTGATGTAGCAGGAGGAAACCAAACTGGAGAAATGAGGAAAAACCTTTTTTTCCTTCTGTCTTTGAGCCCCTTTTTGGATGCCTTTCTTTGAAATCTAGCCAGTATGTTTTATTAAATGGGTGGACTTGGGTTTTTTTCCCCAAGTGACAGTGAACCTAAGGCATTACTCTTAATTCATTTTGTTTTTAATGCCACTAGTATGATTTTAACCTGTCAGGTTTGTTTTATCAGAAAAAATCACATGGCATCAAATTTTCCTCCCCAAACATGAAATTTTTATCACTTACTATCTGGCTGCAACAGACACAGCCACCTTCTATATCCTTCCAAAAGTAAGGACTTTTTGTGGTCTTCTAGCAGTTGTTATTACCAAGACTCCACTCAAAATTTCACAGTAGGCAATGGACAAATTATTGAATATATTTAAAAGAATCTGAAATACTGCTGTTAAATTAGGAAACTTTCTAAAAATTTTTATTTCAAAACAACTAACATTTTTAGACATATGACTTTTGTATGTGAATTTTACTCTGTTTTTCTAGAGACCATGAAGATTTTCTTCATTAGTCTCCCGTACTTATTTTCACAAGAGCTACTGGAAAAAATATTCGTATAATGCACCTACACATAAATTAGACAAAATTTAATGAACATGTAAATAAGGTGAGAGAAATATTCTAATGAATCAGATATAAGAAGTAAATACAATATGCAAACTGGAGATTTAATTGAATTACAGGTTAGTAAATTCAGGTAGGACTTTGAAAGAAGCACCTTTGTGAAACTAGAGAATAGTAATGCACTATAGAGCACTAATGTTCAATGTAAACTAGACTTGATTCTTGTATTAGTCCATTTTGTGTTGCTATAACAGAATACCTGAGACTGGGTAATTTGTAAAGAGCAGAGGTTTATTTGGCTTAGGATTCTGGGACAACTGCATCTGGTGCAGGCTTCAGGCTGCTTCTACTCATGGCAGAAAGTGGTAGCAGCTGGTGGTACAAGTAGATCACATGGTGAGAGGAAGCAAGAGAGAGAGAGAAGGTTCCAGGGTCCTTTAAACAACCAGCTCTCACGGGAACTAACAGAGCAAGAACTCACTCATTAATCTCCCCTCCCCCAGAGAGAGCATTAATCCATTTGTGAGGGATCCGCCCCCATGACTCAATCAGTTTCCAACACTGCCACATTGGGGATCAGATTTCCACATGAGTTTTGGTGGGACAACACATCCAAACTCTATCTATTCTTTTGGAAGTCAATGCTCCTTAGCTCATTTACTTCATGGAAAATTTCAAGTCACAAGGAATTAAAGTATCATCTTATTTGAGAGGAAAGATGAAGGTGAAAATGTGAGTTACTATAGCTGTATCATTTGCAAAATCATATAGCTTTTAAAAGCTCAAAATTAAAACTTTTATAAAGCCTACAACCTAAGCCATCTATTAAAAAGTACAAACTATGTAATAACTAATGGTTATTACTGATCAGAATAGAAATATATTAAGAGGATAAGAAATGTATTTGCTTGGGCCGGCCTGGTGGTGCACTGCTATAGTGCGCCGCTTGGGAAGTGCGGTGGCGCTCCCACCGAGGGTTCGGATCCCACATACAGACCGGTTCCTGCTCACTGGCTGAGCGAGGCGCGGGAGCAACACTGAGGGTTGCGATCCCGTTGCTGGTCCCGGTCCGGTACGGGCGCGACACTGAGGGTTGCGATCCGTTGCCGGACAAGGAAAAAGACAAAAAAAAAAAAAAAATGTATTTGGTTAAAGAATTAAAGAATAAGTACGTTCAATGTGTTCAGTTAGGAATTTTATAAAGATATAATTATGTAACTATATATGCTTGGAAATACCTGCATGACATGTTAACATAAATAGAAGGTATTAAGTAATAGATTTCAGAGGCTATGTTTTGGTTAGCAAGATATATGAAGATACAAATGAGATGGGCCAGTTACTAATTTATTGTCTCTCCAAACCTACCCTTCTTTTACCTGCTTTGGAATACTGGAACAGTACCCTGTAAACATTTCTCCTTTGCCAGCTATTTTTGTTAGTAGAGGGTACTAGAGGGGCACTGCCAGAGAATGGGGCTTCTCTTCCTGGTTCTGGAGTGCTTTCTTTTTTTCCTTAAAAAAACCGTGAGGGAAACCTAACAAAATTCACTCTTCAGTGAGTTTTCCAGCATCCTAGCAGGCAGTTTTCTGAGGAAAAAATCTGACCCACCAGGAGCCCAGTGAACTCTCTGCCACTCAACAAGCAGGGCTGCAGCCAAACTCCAGCAAGGTCTGAATCTCAGTCTTGAGTTATGGGTACCTTTCTCCAAATTCTTAGTTTCCTCCTCAAATATTCTCCCCCTTAACCCTAGAGGTGGTCGCTACTTCCTGTATTTGCTAGTCCTCTTCTATCCCTTCTAGTTAACCAACTTTCCTGCTTAATAATTCTTTATAATAAATTTTCCCTGCCCAAATTATTGGTGTGGTTTTTGACTTCTAACTAGACTCGCACTAATACATAAGACAATGAGGGGAGGCTAATTGACCATTGAGGTCAGCCTTTCTTAATTTCCTTACCCTGGAGGAACCCTTGAAATACTTTTCAATTCTCAAGGATACCCTACCAGAAATTATTAAATCTATGGCTTATGTTATCAGTAAGTTATAGATAATAATGGTCAATGCTCTGTTTAGTAGAGAATGATGTTGATCTAGAGATCTGCTTATCTCGGCCAACTTAGCAGTATACTTTTTGTGCGGTTCTCCCTCCCTAGAAATGATAGCGCTAATCCAAGTCAGTGTAGACAGAGAAAACTTCAGTTTTTCCTTTGTTTAAACGTCCTTGACTTTTTTACCCTATCCAACTGGGCCTAAAAGTCTTATAATAAATTCCAGCCATGTAAGATGGAAATGTGATATATAATATGAAATATTGCATGGGCAAGAGTAGTTTTTCCCCTATTTAAAACTAATAATTACTTTTTAGCCAGCATTTCTTGAAAAATACAAGCAGTTAAGCTTAGCTTACCTGCCTACCTTTCTTGAAATTAATCTTTCTTTTCTTTTCATAGATTTTTAAAACGTATGAGGTAGATAATACATTTCTGTTAAATAACTTAGTTGAGCCAAAAGGGGGTTTGATTTTTCTAAAGGTAGACTTGGTTGATTTAATTTTTTTATGGTCAATTTAACTTAAAGAAAGGCTGTACATTTATTTTAATGTTATTCACAACATGTTTTTTTTTTTTTTTTTTTTGTGGCCGGTAAGGGGATCACAACCCTTGGCTTGGTGTCACCTGCACCACGCTCAGCCAGTGAGCGCCCCAGCCATCCTTATATAGGATCTGAACCCACGGCCGCGGTGCACCCAGTGCTGCTGGGCTCCCAGCACCGCATTCACCCGAGTGAGCCACGGGGTCGGCCCCACAACATGAAATTTTATTAACATTTATTGGCTAGTTAAGCTATTAAAACCATGAGCCAAAACAATATGAATAAAAATATAGTTTAAGATACAATTTTATACAAAACTTAAAAGAAAACATTGTCTTACTGAGTGACATGATCAGGCTCAAATATAAAAGCCCTTACCCAGCCATACACTTGGATTGAAAGAAGAGAAAATACTGTTTAATTTTGTTCTGGAGTTCTTTCAGATTATTTTTAATAAGACTTGAAACTCACTGATTTCTTTTCACATTTCTAATTCTAAGCAGCAGAAGAAACAGTTTGAAATTTCCTTTTGCAATGTGATTTTTTTCCAAGAACTTCATTTCCTTTTAAATCTGAGAATCTAGTCACTTCAGTTCATACATTTTCTTCAGGGCCTTACAGAAAGACTTGTCCAACTGGCTTGTGGGATCAAAAGTATGTGCTAAAGAGGCTAGTGTCTGCAGCCATTCCACATCTCCAAAGCACTCAGCAAAATCCAGCCTCTTATTTTCTTGAAAGAGGGCTTGCAGTTCACCCTTCAGCTCAAACACCCTGTTGAGAATTCTTCCCTTTCTAGCCACCAGATACCCTTGTGTAGCAGGTGATGAATTTCTTTGTCCAGATTTTTACATAGGTTTTTAAACATTCTTGAGTGAACAGGTCTTTACTAAGTTAAGCATTTTTGTAGCATCATCCCCAAGTTTTTTTTATTATTATTTATCTTCAAGAGTTTTTTAATACCACCTCTCTTTGGAAAAAGCAATCTACTGTGACAATATCAGGATTTTTTTTTTTTTTACAGCAAAGGTGAAACCTCATCACTGAACCAACCCTTGATGGGGTGAGTTATATTTGCTAATACAGTGCCTCCAAGATAAACCTTCTTTTCTACACACAGAGACAAACACTTAATATTGCTAAGCTTTTTCTTATTTCACTCAGCTTTTGCAGCAGAAAAATAGCAAAATACTAGCAAACAGAATCCACCAACACATTAAAAAGATCACATGCCATGATCAAGTGGGATTCATTCTAGGGATGCAAGGATGGTTCAACATATGCAAATCGATAAACATGATACATCACATCAACAGAACGAAGGAAAAAACATATGGTCATTTCAATAGATACAGAAAAAGTATTTGATAAAATCCAAGATGGCTTCATAGTAAAAACACTCAACAAATTAGGTATAGAAGGAATATACTTCAACACAATAAAGGCCATATACAACAAACTCACAGCTAATATCACACTGAACAGACAAAAGTTAGAGGCTGTTCCTCTAAGATCTGGAACAAGACAAGGATGCCCACTTTCCCTACTCTTATTCAACATAGTATAGGACATTCTAGCCAGAACAATAAGGGGAGAGAAAGCAATAAAGGGCATGCAAATTGGAAAGGAGGAAGTCAAACTATCCCTATTTGCAGGTAACATGATCCTACACCTAGAAAACCCTAAACACTCCACCAAAAAATTACTAGAACTAATAAATGAATTCAGTGTAGTGGCAGGATGCAAAATCAACAAACAAAAATCAGTAGCCTTACCATACACCAATAACTCAATAGCAACAGAAGAAATCAAGAAAGTAATCCCATTCACAATAGATACCCAAAAATGAAATACCTAGGAATAAATTTAACCAAGGAAATGAAAAACCTCTACAATGAAAGCTATAAAACATTGGTGAAAGAAATTGAAGAGGACACAAATAAATGAAAAGATATTCCACATTCATGGGTCAGAAGAATTAACATCATCAAAATTTCCTTATTACCCAAAGCAATCTACACATTCAACACAATCCCTCTCAAAATACTAATAACATTCTTCACAGAAATAGAAAAAATGACCTTAACATTTATATGAAACCACAAAAGACCCCAAATAGCAAAAGCAATCTTAACCAAAAAGAACAAAGGTGGAAGCATCACACTCCCTGACTTCAAAATATACTGTAAAGCTATAGTAACACAAACAGCATGGTACTGACATAAAAACAGACAAATCGATCAATGGAATAGAATAGAGAGCCCCAAAATAAACCCACACATTTACAGCCAACTGATTTTTGACAAAGGTGCCAAAAATATACAATGGGGAAAGGACAGCCTCTTCAACAAATGGTGCTGGGAAAACTGGATATCTACATGCAGGAGATTGAAACTCTACCCCTGTCTCTTACTGTGCACAAAAATCAACTCAAAATGGATCAAAGACCTAAATTTAAAGCCCAAATCTAGGAAACCACAAGAAAACATAGGGGGAATGCTGCACGAAATGGGAGAGGGCAGTGCTTTTTTGAGTGAGACTACAAAGGCAGAGGCTACTAAAGCAGAAGTACATAAATGGGACTACGTCAAACTAAAAAGCTTCTGCACAGCAAGGGACACTATCAACAAAGTGAAGAGACAACCTACAGAATGGGAGAAAGTTTTGCAAACTACACATCAGACAAGGGGCTAATATCCATAATATATAGGGAACTTAAGCAAAAAACACAAATAACACAATTAAGAAATGGGCAAAGGACCTAAACAGACATTTTTAAAAGAAGACATACAAGTGGCCAACAGGCACATGAAAGATGCTCAGCCTCACTAGTCATTAAGGAAATGCAAATTAAAATCACAATGAGCTATCTCACTCCAGTTAGAATGGCTATAATCAACAAGACAGAAAATATCAAATGCTGGTAAGGATGGCAGGGGAAGGAACTCTCCTACATTGCTTGTGGGAGTGTAAATTGGTACGGCTGCTGTGGAAAACAGTATGGGGGTTGCTCAGAAAACTAAAAATAGATCTACCTTATGATCCAGCTATCACACTGCTGGATACATACCCAAAGGAAATGAAATCAATATATCAAAAGACACCTGCACTCCCGTATTCATCACAGCACTATTTACAATAGCCAAGAGTTGGAATCAACCTAAATGTCCATCAACGGATGAACAGATAAAAAATCCGTGGTTTATATACACAATGGAATACTACTCAGCCAGAAAAAAAAAAAAAAAAACCCAAAAAACGATATCCTATCGCAGTAACATGGATGGAACTGGAAACGATCATGTTAAGTGAAGTAAGTCAGACACAAAAAGACAAATACCACATGATATCACTCATACGTGGAATCCAAAAAAACAAAAGTGGCTCTCATAGAAGTAAAGAGTGGAATAATGGTTACCAGAGGCCAGTGGCTGGGGAGGGAGGAGGAAAAGAGGTGGACAAAATTATGCTATCTACCCTAAGTGAATCACTGTGAGGTACATGCATGTACTGAAACAACATACTGTACCCCACAAATATGTACAGATAAATGCTAAAATATTTTGAAGAAAAAAAGAAAGACTTGTCCAGACCAGTTGAAGGCAAAACTAAGACCACAGCTTAATTCTCCCACATCCTCCCATGGCTGGTCTGCCCACCTCCCCTCTCCAGTCACCAACTCTTTCCATTGCAGCACAAAGCTGAGTAGGGAAATAAATTAGTTAGCTATTGTATTAAATAATCACTAAGTAATGCAGACAAAAAGCAGGGAAGCACATAGAATTGTTAAAATTAGGGCCTCTAAAAATAATTCAAACCTAGTTTCAAATCTTGGTTCTTTCACTAACTGTGACCTTAAGCGAGTCACCAAATCACCTATTTCTTTGTTTATAAAATGGGGATATACTACTGACAGGATTTTGAAGATTAAATCTGATAATATCTATACAATGTTGTAGAGCGTATGAGTCAGAAACTGCATCTGGCTGCATGCAACAGAGAATCCACATAATAGAGGCTTACCCACCTGACACCCATTAGGATGATCATATTTTAAAAAGAAAGAAAATACAAGTGTTGGTGAGAACTTGAAATGCTTATGCACTGTTGATGGGAACGTAAAATGGTACAACTGCTATGGGAAACAGAATGTAGTTCCTCAAAAAGTTAAAAATAGAATTACCTTAAGATTCAGCAACTCAACTTCTAGATATGTACCCCCTAAAATTTAAAGCAGGGTTCCAAAGCTATGTTTGTGCACCCATGTTCATAGCAGCATTATTTACAAAATCCAAAGGTAGAAACAACCCGTGTCCATCGATGGATGGATAGATAAATAAAATGTGGTATGTACATACAATGAAATATTATTCAGCCTTAAAAAGGAAGGAAATTCTGACACATACTACAACATGAATGGATCTTGAGGACTTTATACTAAGTGAAATAACCCAGTCACAGAAAAAGACAAATACAGTATGATTCCACTTATGTGTGATATCTAGAGCAGTCAAATTCATAGAAACAGAAAGTAGAATGGTGGCTGGCTGGGGTTGGGGGAAGGAGGGCATGGAGGGTTGAGTAATGGGCATAGAGTTCCAATTTAGCCAGATGAAAACAGTTCTGGAGATGGATGGTCGTGATGGATGCATAACAATGTGAATGTACCCAACACTACTTATCAGTACACTTATAAATGGTTAATGAGGAAAACTTTATGATATGTATATTTTGCCACAACTTCTTTTTTTTAATCTGCCACATTGAATAAATAGTATGTCTTGTAAAAAAACAAAAATAATAACAGAGGGTTAACTAAACAGACATTTATTTTCTTCACATAGCAAGAAGTCTGGAGGAAGGCAGTAGAAAGTCAGAATGGACTTCTGTGATGCTGTCAGGGACCCAGAAGCCCTCTGTCTTTCTGTTTAGTGAGGTAGACCTGATTTTTGTTCCTCAAAATCCATTCTCCTCTTCTTCCATTGCTAATAGAATTTTACTTGAATTTCCCCACCTGTCTGTCAGCTAGGTGAGGTCATGTGACTCACTACTGGCCAATGGGATATGAGAGAAAGCAGTGTGCACCACTCTGTGTCTTGCCCTCTTCAGAACCAGGCGTGTACTTCCCTGGTCTCTTTCCTGCTTCCCAAAGGCCATGCAATGGCAAAAGGGGCACCATTGATCAGAAAGATGGAAGCCATGTTGAGAATAACAGAGCCCTAAACTGCTATCTTGAGAGAGAAATAAACTTTCTCTTATTTAAGACATTGTACTATATGTCTCTTTGTCACAGCCACTTAGCCTTTGCCCTAATTAGTCTACTAGCATCTGGCTTTTATTATCTCAGTTGCTTCATGGGTAAAAGATGGCTAATTCACCTTCAGCTTCATGTTTGTGTTCCACATGGGAAGAAGGAAGTGACAAGGAGAAAGACCTAATATTCATGTGAGTCCAACAAAACTTTCTAATGAGTTCTGGTCAAGATGGCGAAATAGGGGCCGGCCCGGTGGCGCACTGCTACAGTGCGCCACTTGGGAGCGCAGCAGCGCTCCCGCCCCGGGGT